CTTTAAAATATTATAATATTAGTTGAAAAATTTCATTTTGCGAAATATGAATTACTTAATAAGATATTTGCACTTTTTAGTATAAATATGTACATTAATATATCATAAGAAAGCAAACTTATACAGATCTGAAGTTATTATTGATTCGTCAGGTATATGGAAGTTGCCATAGGAGAATAAATTGACCTTTGAATATATAATGCATCTATATCAATAAAAAATTTTATGTCCAACACTAGTATAAATAGTGTTCAGTCTCGCGACGATTCATCGGGAACGGAAGAAGACGACGACTGTCTCGACATAGACATTGAGCCACTGCTTTAATTGTGACCACCCTCCGCTCGCTATGCCTGTGGTTGTTCAAATTACTGTGAATGACACTTAGGAATATTGACAGGTGTCATTTACTTCCTGATAATGAACCTAAGCGCCATTACAGTTTGTGAAAACCCCAGCAGCATAAATTCTCGGACAGCGACAATTACCCTTATGTTTCGATAAATAAAATCCGTTTTGAGAACGTTTGACAAACTTCTCGATTTTTATTATACTCACGCAGTAGACAAGGAAGTGCATTTTATAATCAACGTTATTTATTCGTCTTAATAAGTAACAAATTTCTTCATATAATGGTTGGAATTTGTTTAAATACTTAATTTTTTATTGGTTTAAATGCCAACTTTTTACTAATTTCCTGATTGTCTGAAATTGTAAATCTCCATTTTATATGCATAGTATATGTTTAACATTTCCTAACATTTTGTTAACAATCTCAACTATCCAAAATTTTTAAAAATCACAATAAAAAATCAAAGAAAACATACAATTTTGTACTAAAAATTAGATTTTTTGAAATCGGTTAACCGAGACTTAAAAACCGGGTAACCCGGTTAACCGAAAACCAATGTTTTAAAAAACCGGTTTGCGAAAAACCGAAATATGCAAAACCGGTTCTTCGGTTAACCGGTTAACCGGTTTATAAACACTAATCTTATCTTTTACTCAATAAAATAGAAATTAATAGGTTATAGATTTGAATTTGTGCAAAATTAGGAGAATTTTGAAATATTATTATGAACAAATAAAATTTTTACTCTAAATACTTAAATATCCTACATACATACATATATTGGATATTGCGATAAACATGTTAATTATTTTGTTCTTAATATGATGACCGTATTTATTTTAAAGGAATAAATTCGAATTTGAAAATTTTCGGGGAAGTTTGAACGATGTATGCGACAAGAACGGATAATAGTTCCATAAGGACATTTGGAAGATAGAAATATGTTAACAGGGTAAATAGGGTCTAATAATATTTGGCGACTACAGCTGGACGACCAAAATGGATCAGCTAGAAGCTCACAGTGTCTAAAATTACCTTCCGAAATACAGAATACGGGGTTAATAACAAAAAAATCTAACCAGCTTATAAAGAACCCCTGAGGACCAATCAAATTTGTAATAATAAATATTAATTTTGCACTTTCACTTGTTATGTGTGCTAACTATAATTTACTGTACTGTGCCTATCTTTAAGAAGAAAATTCAAGTTGAAAATTTGGATTTGTTTCAAAAAGTATAGGATAAATATTATAGGACAAAAATTAAAAATCTATACTAACTCAAGGGGTTAAATTTGTGGAAATAATACTTAACTATATTGCTAAGATATAAAATATAACACAATAAGATGATATAACGTATTGTGTAAATCCTAAAACTAGAGATCATAGCATATACTTACATCTTTATTTTTCAGCATAAATTCCAATTTCCAAAGAATTTGTAACGTCATAAAATATGTACTGCAATTGTAAAAATCTGCTACTACGTTTAATAATAAATCTTACTTTTAACAAATCGCTATTACTAGTGCTTATGATTTGTTCAACACTAAATGTGCACATCTCAGGTAATTTAAATTAATTCGAAGAAATAACAGGACTTTCCAACTAAAGGACAGTTATAAAAGGATAATAAGAACATTATTAAACTTTGTTAAAGGTAGATAAACTACCTGCTTTGACAAAGCCAATGTACACACACACACACATTTTGTCTCTAACGTATAAAAAGATCGTAGAAATTGCAAATGAGTAGCATTTTACGATTAGTTTTCGTAACGTAAAGACGTAGTATCGATAATTTTATTCTTTTGCTTTCTAAGAGATGGAAGAAATGTATATTTTACGTAAAGATTCTGTTAACAATAAAGATCCCCATGGTTATGTCAATGCTTTTAGCCGCCCTGAGGCCAATTATAAAAGTCCTACGAAGAGATCTTTCCTCAGCGAGTGCATACGGCAGATACATATAATGAATGGCAATGATATGCCCATGATTTCAATGCCTGTTGAGTACAACAAAGTGGTCATCTGGAGTAAATTGAATTATTTAATGAGACCTTCAAGAATTACTCCTTATCAGGCAGCAGTGCAAAGAGTTAAACGCCGTCTATTCCGAGAACCCAAACTGAGACAACGTAAATGTCAAAATCCTAAATATAACGATTCAAATTTCACCGACAGTTGTCACTTTAAAGCTTCGCGCCATGAGTTGGGCATTAAGAAAATACCACGTAATTATCTGGATCAAGCTAGGCGCTATGTGGAAACTGGCTTACGTCAGAACCTCAAACGTAAGTACATGGATGATCATGATGAGGAGAGTGATATTGAGAGGCAATCCATTGCATTTCAATACCAGTGAGGGTGTATTCCAAGTTTCACAACAAGTCATTAGCAAAGTCTGTCGTTATCATGGCAATATGGCAAGACATCATCCCCAGCGAGAACGTTCAGCCGAGGAACAATTTAAACGTGAACGTAATACCGAAGCCTGTCGTCTTAGTCGAAGAGCTAAAAAACTCGAAGAAGTTCTGCTCGATCAACAATATCGTCAACGTCTACATGCCAATAATAAAATATTAGAAGCATCTATACGTTCCATTCTATACATGAATACCTTAATGGGTTTGATGGTTGGCCCAACCCGATGAACGTAATGTTTATGTTTAAACGCAGAAATTTAAATATAAAACATTATGGAAACCTTTGTGAAAAGACCTCTTCATATTGTTTATATGTTTAAAGCATATAAAACAATATGAAATCGTATTTACTTTAAAATTGTGATCTGGACTCTCTATATAGGGTACTTAAATTGTATATATTTTGTAAATAATAATTCAATTTTAGTTTTTAACATTTATTTCTTTTTTTTTTTTCTATAAAAATATATCAATATATTTTTTATTAGGAAATTTTACAAAAATATTTTTTAAAAAATTTATGTATTTTATGTAATAACTGTGTATGTATGTGTATGAGTAATGGTATATAATAATTAATAATAAAAATATAAAAGTGGCTTTAGAAAAAATAAAACGGTCTTTTTTTTGGAAATTATTAGTAGGAGTTGGAACCGATATTGATACTGTAGTAAAAGATCGATATTAAAGGTAACATTTTATTATAAAACCGGTATATACAGGTCTATAACGCTACTGAAATAATAATTAATTAATATCGAAACAGTTACTGAAGTTCTAATCAGTTGCGGTTTCCATTCTTGGGTTATAATTATTAATATAAAATTTTATATAAAAGTTAAAGGTTACATTCCTTCAATAAGTTTCATATGAACATCCATTAGGCACTGTAAATGAAAGAAAATATAAATTTAAAAATAAATTTTACATAAAAGTTTATAAATTGCTTATTTAGCACGAAAAATATAATAATTTCATAATCTAAAATTGGATTTACTATTATAACCAGTTAACAATTAAAACAATCAAAACAAAATTAATAATAACTGTTAAATGGTTATAATCCGTCTTCTTTACATTACATACTAACGAAATATAATGTATATATTTATGTGTGATGGTAGGTAACAACTTGTATTTATTCAGTTATTTTCTCCATATTCAGCTGTGTAGAGGTCTCTTTGAATGCCCTAAATTTTAATAAAATAAAATAATTTTATTTAACTTTGTTTTTCAAATATTTTTAAATGCAATTGCTAAATTACACATGTAATACGAAGCAAATTTATGAATACTAAATAGACATTTATAGAAATGTTAAATAATTAGAATTAATATTGCTCTACAGAGAAGTTAGTTATATAAAAAGTATATACAGATAACGGTTTAGCTTTTGATTGTAGTATAAGTTCAAAGCATGACCGAAATTTTAAGAAATGCTTAGGTTTATATAATTGTACATTTCCAAAATATCTACTTATACAGAATATTCTACTTTTTTAGCACCGGGTCAAAGAATGCATTTCTATAACTTTAAATAGGTTAGGCTATATAAATCCGAAGGCAATTTGTGTGCTTCTTTTCATGGAAGAAAAATGTTTGTTAGTAAAAAAAACACGCTGAAAAATACGTGGTTCGATTCGCTTTAACGCTAATACATTCGCCCTTTCGTATTTACTTAAGTTAATCCCATTTATGTATTCCGTTATTGCTAGAACTTCTACCTGGAACTTTGTTTGTGATTAGGTATACAGTATACGTCTGTGTCGCCAGGCCCCTTTGTCCCCCCATGTAGCAACGTATTCCAAATGTTCCGCTTGATCAAGACCTTTTATCTGTAATCATCATGACGTGTCCTATAACCGCTTATGGCCAGTTCGCCTTAAGTTATGAGCCGTTCGGCTGTAAGTGCCACCTCATATCTTAAATATGTTTCAGTGGGTGGAATACCTAGCAACGTTTCCAGAGCCCTGGTTGACGTAGTACTAATGTACTAATGGCACCACTTATACACAAGCATGAGCAATAACGGAATGCGTAAATTGGATTAGAATAAATATAAATATATATTTACCGATATCCAGAAGGCAATTAGGGCGATATCAGGCGATAGAACTAAATCTAAGACCGTATTGGATATTAAGAAAGCTTTAACTGAATATCTCCGAGAGGTAAGGTTCACATCATATGGGTACCAACCCACTCGGGAGTAGCCGGGAGTAGCGAATGTAATAGCTTTAAAGGGTAGGGAGCTGGAGGCAGTTAACCTGACAAACGCGAAACCATTCGACGCAACAAAAGCTGAACTAAAAATATGGGTGAGAGAATCCCATAAGGCCTCTTGGAATAATAAAACAGTGGGTAGTACCACGAAGATCCTATGGGGTGACCCTGATGAGAGCAAGACGAAAATTCTCATCAAAATGAGCAAGTCTGAAGTTAGTATGTAGAGCATGTGGAGAGGGAGTGAAACTGTGGAGCACTTTCTTTGCCACTGTCAGGCATTCGTCGAAGTTAGATCCAAGCATCTTGGAAGTGATGTTATTCCGGAAATAACATACCTGACTAACACGGATTGGAAGATTCTTAGGAATTACGTTCAGGAAACTGAGTTTATGGACACTGAAAAATAATTCATTCAGTTCCCTTTTTTCATGATAAGGAGCGCACAACAGGCCGATAGTGGCCTAGGCGTATTTCTTCGGAATAGATGTAGTATACATCCTCCTATCAACCTACCTATACACAAGCAGCATGTACGCTGCATTGAAGCATATGCTAGAATTGGTCTAATTACACTTTTATAAAGCCAATGTGTCATAGTAGGACTAAGACCACATTTCATGCCTATAGGTTTTCTAGATATCGCCGAACAACGATGTGCCTTGTTAGTACTATCATGTATGTCTCCATTTGAGGATTACACCTAAGTATTTAACTCTGTATGTCATCGGTATCTTCTTGCCCAGGATACAGTATACTACATAGACATTTCTGTCTTTCTTGTGAAAAAAAACAGATTTTCGCCTTCGCCGGGTTAACATTGAGGTCTCTTACCCAGCAAAAATAAAGCTTCAAAAGTAGCAATTAGTCAATTTTTACCTTCTTATTATATTTTTTCAATGCTGACGATATTTTTTTGCTCTTACATTTTTGTGAGATAAAAAATTTTATTTTTGGCTTTTGTTTATCTTATTAATATTAATAAAGTCCAATTAGTTGTATTCTATTATAATACAATTTTACTTCCGAATAACTTCCAAAAAAGAGCATAAAGAGTAGTGAATTTTAATCAAATAAAAAGTACATCCGTCCTATGACAAGCCTGTGTTAAAATTATCACTTCTTCACGGTTTTTTCAGTACTTTCATGGACTAAATTCTACTTCTTTTTCGTTTCTTTAGAAGTTCTTTTTTTTCTGGGTCAGATGAGCCCAGTGTAAAGCGGAAAATATGCCTCCTTGTGGTGTACCGCGAAATACGCTTTTCCTGATATTTATTTCGTAGACCTCGCAGCTTATCTATCTGTTCCTTAGCATGTAATTGATCCAGTTACAGAGCACTCGGTCCACATAAAACTGGTCCACCGATCATCCCTTTACATAATCATGGTACTTTTATTTAAGGGCATTGGTATACTGATTTTAACCATACTATCGACTATCTGTCCCAAGGGTTTAAGCAGGAAGGACGTTCTATCGACCGATAAGCCTTAGGTGTCGCATAGCTAGGTTTTCCTTATTGATGTTAATAATGTATTTGTGTTAAGATTTAGTTAACACCCTTTTTGTAAAACCTTGTATTGAATTTTGTATTTGAGAAATGTTTTGTATTTATATTCATTCGAAAATAAACTTTTACAATAAAAGGTTATGAGCCCAGGAAGCTCTTGAATAATAATTAAAAAAAAAAAAATAAAATATTTTTCTGAAGTGAAAAATTTCTTTTTAAGTCAAGAAAAGAAAATTTTTTCAAGATAAAAGAAAATTTTTTCAAGACAAGAAGAAAATACAAAATCAAATATGGATTTTAGCAAGAACATCAAGATACTTAAAGGTGAAACTGAATGGCCAATGTGGAAAAGAAAGATAAGAGATCTTTTAGATTACCATGAAGGAACATTGGATGTAATTGATAGGAAATTACATAAGCCAACTCCTCTAGAATCAACAGCCACAGCGGAAGAAAAGAAATTATATCAAGAACAAAGCGGTTTGTACAGAAAAGCCAACAGTTATGCAAAATCAGTGTTGTGTAGTTCAATAAGTGATGAAATTTACCAAAAAGTTATGGATAAAGAAAGTGCTGCAGATGTGTGGGATGCTCTTAAAAATCTTTTCGAAGCAACAGCAAAAGATCAATTGTTCAAGGTATGTGCAGAATTTTTCTCTTTCGTTTGGGATGACAATCAAGATGTCACAATGCATATTGCCAAATTAAAAGGATTATGGTTAGAATTCAACAATGGACTAAAAGGAAAGAATTTAAACGAATTACCAGATTTATTGCTAGTGGGTAAGGTTTTGCACATACTACCATCAAAATTCGACACGTTCAAATCAAGTTGGATGATGTTAAGCAAAAATGAAGAGAAAACATTTGAAGAGCTATGTATGCAAATAACTATGTATCAAAGGAACTTTGGAAAAGGCAATACTACCTCAACTGAAGAAGCACTAATAGCAAAAACGAAATTTAAGAAATTTGAAAATTCTAACAAATTTAACAAGAAAAATAGTGATGTTTGCAACTACTGTAAGAAGAAAGGACATTGGGTACGTGATTGTCGCAAGTGGGCAGCAGATGGTAAGCCTAGTAAAGAAGCAAATGAAGCCAAATCTGTGAGTCAAAAGTGTTTGCCTGTTTTTTGTGAGGAAGCAAATGTGGTGCAAGATGCCGATACCACATGTTGGTGGATTGACAATGGAGCAACACGCCATATAACTAATAGTAAAGACAATTTTAAGGATTTTAAGTCATTTTCAAGTCCAAATTTTATAAGAGCGGCAGGTAAAGAAGTTCTACAAGCTATTGGTAAAGGTACAATAGAAATTGAATCAAAAGTCAAGAACAAAACAGAGAGGCTGTGTTTAACAGACGTTTGGTATGTACCTAATATCACAAGGAATTTATTCTCAGTGCTATCAGCTCAGGATAAACAACCAAATAGCAGATTTATATCGACAGCAACCAATTGTAAACTATTTGTTGATGATGAAATAGTTTTATGTGGGTCAAGATCAGTAGGTGGTACACTTTATAAAGCTAATATAAAAGCGATAAAGCAGTATGGTATGGAAGAAGTTAATGAAGTTCAAGATTCCGATTTACTTCAACTTTATCATGAAAGATGGGGTCACCAAGACAAACGACACATACAGAAGATGCTTAAATTAGAAATGGGAATTAGTATTAAAGATGATAAAACTGTTTGTGAGCCGTGTATATATGGAAAAGCTCATCGGTTGCCGTTTGGTCATAGAAATAAAGCTACTAGTCCCGGTGAACTCGTGACAGCTGATGTCTGTGGACCATTTAGTGAGTCGTTTTCTAAAAAGAAGTACCTGGTGATTTTTAAAGATTCGTATACGAAGTATCGTTTTGGATTTGTTGTAAAACAAAAGTCTGAAGTTAAAGACTGCTTAGAAGAAGTTCTGATGTTAGCAAATAATCGTGGTCATCATATAAAAGAATTATTAAGCGACAATGGTGGTGAGTTTGACAACCATGAAATAAAGTCAATTCTAAAGAAGAATGGTGTCATGCAAAGACTAGCAGCTCCCTATACACCACAACAGAATTGCGCTAGTGAAAGAGAAAATCGTACAGTTGTTGAGATGGCTCGTACATTCAAATATTCCAATGCAGAAGCAAAGTTTCCGGATGCTATATGGGCTGAATTAGTAAGAACATCAATATATGTACTAAACAGAACTGGCAAGTCATCAGTAGAAAATAAAAGTCCTTATGAGTTATGGATGGGAAAGAAACCTAGAGTGCATCATTTAAGAATCATATCATGCGAATGTTATGTTCATATACCTAAACAAAAGAGAAAGAAGATGGATGCTAAAGCTACAAAAGGATTTCTCATTGGTTATGACGATGATGAGCGTTATCGGGTTTACATCAAAGAGAAACAAGAGGTTATACTTTCCAGAGATGTCAAATTTATTGAGAAAATTAAAACATGCGTATCTGATGATCAAAATACTAAAGAAGATAACAACAAAAATTTAGATACTGAAGAAAATAATGAAGTTAAGTTTAAGTTTGAAGAATACAGAAGTCAAAATGCAGATAATAAAGACAATGAAGATCATGAATTAGATGAAGATCAACATGAATTAGATGAAGATCAACATGAATTAGATGAAGATCAACAAAATGAAGAATTAATAGAAGAAGAACAACATAGTGATGAAGAACTTTATGATGATGCTTTAGAGGATGATTTAGATGAAATTGTTATATCAGATGATGATGTTCAAGAAGTTATTCCTGATAGAAGATTGAGAGGAAAACGTACGAGAGATGCTGACTATGATGACAATTCTGATTTAATATTATCAAAACGATTAAGAGATCGTACTTTGATATCAAATCCTAAATATGATGATTTTGTTATGGAAATCCAAGATTTTATAAAAAGATTAGCAACAATACGTGTAGTATTGAGTATAGCAGCTAGTAATAATATGCATCTATTTCAATTTGATGTCGCAACAGCTTTTCTTTATGGAGAATTAGAAGAAGAAATATTTATGAAACAACCTGAGGGCTATAGCGATGGTACAAAACGAGTGTGTAAATTAAAAAGAAGTTTATATGGTTTAAAACAAGCTCCTCGTTGCTGGAACAAGAGATTAGTGAAATATTTATTAAAAATTGGATTTAACGTTTGTGAAGCTGATCCGTGTCTATTCATAAGAATAAAAAATGGAAAGAAACTTATTTTAGTATTATATGTAGATGACGGTTTGGTTGCAGGAACAGACGAAATTGAAGTTCAAAATTTATTACAAGAGTTACGAGCTGAATTTAAAATTACATCTAAAGAAGCTAATTATTTTTTGGGTTTGGAGATAAAGAAAGAAAATGGTGCAATACGAATATCTCAAACAGCTTATGTTAAGAAAATACTTGAGAGGTTCAATTTTGATGAATGCAGACCAGTATCAACTCCAATGACCAAAATAGTAGAAGATTCCGAAACAGGGAAAGCTGAGGACTTATCTAAATTTCCCTATCGACAAGCAGTGGGAGGAATTATGTATTTAATGCTTGGTACAAGACCAGATCTTGCATACAGTATTGGATACTTGTCTAGAACTTTAGATAATCCTTCAAAAGAAAATATTGTTAGAGTAAAAAGAGTATTTAGATATATTGCTGGTACAAAAGAATATGGTATTACTTATACGGCTGACAATAACTTAAAGTTCGAATGCTACAGTGATGCTGACTTTGGAGGCTGCTTAAAGACTGGTAGATCGACATCAGGAATAATAATAAAATACGCTGGTGCTGTAATTTCATGGATGAGTCAAAGACAACCGATAGTAGCAACTTCTACAACAGAAGCTGAAATCGTTGCTGCTACTGAAGCTACTAAAGAAATTATATGGTTAAAAAGACTCTATTCCGAGTTAATTGGATACAAAGACGTTCCAGTATTGCAAGTGGACAATAACGCTGCAATAAGATTAGCTCAGAATCCAGAGTTTCATCGTCGCACTAAACACATAGCGTTGAAACATTTTTTCATTCGCGAAAAGGTATCCGAAAATGAAATTTGTGTTACAAGAATATCAACTGAAGACCAACTAGCTGATTTGATGACGAAACCACTACAAGCAACAAGGTTGAAATATTTAATAAGCAATTTGGGACTTTCAAATGTTAACAAATTATCTTAACAAGGGAAAGTATTGATGTTAATAATGTATTTGTGTTAAGATTTAGTTAACACCCTTTTTGTAAAACCTTGTATTGAATTTTGTATTTGAGAAATGTTTTGTATTTATATTCATTCGAAAATAAACTTTTACAATAAAATTCCTGGTTTGGGTATAAATATTACCCATGCATCCTGCCATTTAATTGGGGTATATGTCAATTTCAAGCATACAGTGAAAATCTGTGGCGGATGTACGGAAACCAGTCCCGCCTCCATCTGCAAAAGGGGCAGGAAAATGCCATTCGACCCTGCAGATTCATAGAGTGCAAAGCTCTTGATTGCCTTCTTAAACGTGTCATTTGTAATAACCATTTCTATGTTAGCCTCCCCTTCCTCCAATATCGGTTCATCTATGGTACTCTATATACAAGGATAGAAGAGAGAGTCCATTAGGAGTTTCATTGTCTCCCTCATATCCTCCAGCCTACTGCCCGTGTAATCTATCATAGATTCCGGTTGGACATGAGTTGAAATAGGAATCTTTTATCACTATCTACCTGTTCACAGAAAAGTTTTCTGGAGTCTTATTTGACTTTTCCAACGATTTTCTTATATTCACCAAGTTTTCTACGATACTCATCCCATACTGCGACTTTTTTACGCCGTGCCCGGTTAAATAGTTTGCGAAGAGTCTTGCCAAGGTTCCAGATCTCCCTCAGCTGTCCTAGAACTTAAATAACAATGAAAATATAATTACACAGGCCGACGAAAGAATTAAGGTTAATTCCAAGAAATTTACTAAAAAAAAGTTTTCTTCGAAATTCCCAAAATTCAAATCGCAATCTTAATATGAAAGCTTTATTTGTGACCAAAAATTTTGCATATCGCCTCTATGCAATGGATGTTATTGTTGAATAATATTACATATATCAATTGCGCGTTGACAGAAACAAACTTTTTAATATAAATAGTTCTTTGCTTCTCCTGTAAAATTTTAAAAATGTTAGATAGGGCCGTTTGCGTTTTAGGTGACGATATATAAACGATCCCCAACCATAAGACTACTTAATATCGTCCGAGCCATTCATGGTATAGAACCAGAAAATATCAAAAAAGTCTTGAAAAATTTACTAACGGGATATGAAAATAATGTCATAATATACCAAAAAAGTTTAATTCGTTTTATTTCATTTATAAGAAATACTTGCTATTGGACCACCCTGTACATAAATATTTCAAATCGAATTTTTCGATTGCTATATTCTATGGATATTAGGTTGGCAATGAAATGTATGAGAAACTGTGCCGAATTTGCGCCATTCCTTAAAAATTCAGATTTATATTTGTGTACAGATGAAGGCCATTGAAAGCATTAAGTAGTTTCGTTTTAAAAACCAGTATTATTATTGTTTAAGTACAAATCGGTTATTTGCGGTATTTTTCCTCTAAGTGTAAATCCTTATGATTTACTACTTTAGTTTACATCTTTGATGGAAAACTATTATTAATTCAACGAGTAAACCGCTAACTGTATTTAAACTTTGTTAGCCTCCATACTTAGAAATAAGTAGTTGTTTACTTCTCGTCATATAGAAGCCTTAAAGAGCACTTCTTGTTGTGCATACATGCTTAAGGTAATAAATAAATAAAGGAAGACAAATCTTCTCCTTTTATAAAACTAATAATTCTTTGTGTTTTATTCTTTTTGTGCATTTACACTGAACCAAATCGGATTGACGCCGAAACATTGGTCGCTTCGAACCGGATTAATTAAATTGTTGCTTCGAATCGAGGATAATCTACACATCTTGATCTTAATCAAGCGGATAAAACACGAAGAAGTTCATCCTCCAGCATATGAAAGGAAGACCCCTTGCCAAGGAATTTTAAGTGCCCTTTTGTTTGGAGAGTTTTTAAGATTGCTTTTTTTTTAAAGGTTAGTAAATTGATATAAAAGTGATTGTGTCAAAGGAAAAAGTACATAAACATAGATAAATACATATGTATATACGTGTGTGTGTTTTATAAAGAATAAACAAAAGAAAACAACAAGTCTATTGTCAAAAAAAGGGAATTAATAATTTATAATAATTTATTGTGAATTAATTTTAATCCCTATTTAATACATCCTTGCGCGATTATATTTTATACAGTACCTGTTGACAGATAGTGATCGGTACTTTTATAATCAAGGCTGCGTTTGTTTACATTGGACAACAGCCATAATTGATAATTAAAAATTGCATTTGTTTTTCGGCAAATTAATAAAAAATTAACTTTTCACTATTTAAAGAAAATTATTTTGGTGTTAATTTTTGAGTGAAATAAATAGTGATCAAAATAATTCGTGACTGCATTTAATGCAAGGTTTGTTCACACAAATTTAATATTAGTAATTGTGTTGTGAAAGATAAAATTCTTCTTCTTCCTCCTTTTACTAATTTATTGTTAGTTACCCTACGGTCGGTCGATTTGACTTTTAATAATTTGTTTGGAAAGTAACAATACAATTTCGATTTTTTGTGATTTTTGAAAGCTGCTTCCTATTTTTATAGTATTTTACCAAAATAAATCCAATCTTAAAATTGTGAAAAATGCCTTTGACAGCCCTCGAACGTTTCACTCGTGCCTCAGACGCCGTTATAAAATTTGAGGCAAACTTTAATAATATACGCGAGGAAGAACATCACGTGTACTACTTCGAAGTTTTGGAAAGTGAATTGAAGATGTGTTGGGAAAAGGTGAAAATTACTTTCGATAAGTGTTTAGACGATCTTGAATCTTCTGAAGACGCTGAGCCAGAAGATATTCAAGTGGCTGAAAGTAAATTCCAGAGTACCCTTAATGTTTATGCGCGATGTTCAAAGTCGATAAAAATTAAGATTGATGAATTGGAAGCAAAGACTAAGCCTAAAGTTTCCCATCATCCAAACAATGATTCAAATTTTGATAATGTTAGTCATAATCTACCTCTTCCGCCATGTGATACGGACATCTTCAACGGCGATTATCTCTCATGGCCTACATTTAGGGATCTTTTCACTGCTTTATATATTAATAACAGTCGGCTGAGTCATATCGAACGATTATGTTATTTAGTGAAAAGAACAGATAACGAAGCGAGAGAAATTGTATCTAAATGTCCGTTGACTAACGCTGGGTTTGATATAGCGTGGAAAAGTTTAAAAGATACATACGAAAATCCTCGAATGCTAGTTAATAATCAGTTAAAGTGTTTGTTTGGTTTAGAGACAATAACAGAAGAGACTAGTTCCTCTTTGAAAAGGTTACAGCGCGGAATTAATGGATTTTTAACTGCTATGTCGATATATGAGATTCCCACTCAAAATTGGGATCCAATTATCGTTTTTATTTGCATACAAAGACTGCCCTCTCAGACAGTGACACTATGGGAACAAAGTGTTAAGGACAAAACTGCCTTATCTTTATGGAAAGATTTGGACATGTTTTTGACCGAAAGAATCCAAACGTTAGATTGCATACGCGATCTTAAGAGTTCCAATACTGTTAAGGAAGGCATTGAACGCAAGGAAAAGACACATGTTTTGAATACAAGTCCTACGAATGCTTGTGTTTTATGTAAAAAACCGGGTCATTTACTTCGTTTTTGCCGTCAGTTTGATAGAATGTCTATTCCTGAGAGATTTAGAACGGTTAAAAAATTTCATTGCTGCATAAATTGTCTAGCTAACTCACATGAAGTTAATGATTGTTTAAGTGAACATCGTTGTTCTATTTGTAATAAGCGGCACCATACTTCACTACATCGGAATTCTTCAGCTTCGCAAAACTCTAGAAATGCTCTTCCTGAGTCATTAGACGACAACTCTTCTTTGGTTTTACGACCATACAATCACACTCCTAATGACCAACGACCTACTAACACGTCAACTGCATTGGTAGAAAGACCGACTACGTCAGGCACTATAGTTGAACGACAAGTATTCCATACTAGTCAAAATTATTCTACTCCTTTGGGTACACTGACTAGCAATGTACCTCCTACTTCATTAGATGACAATTCTAGTGTGGTTCTACGACCCACTAATCCAACTCCTAATGACCATCTGCCCACTTTGTCAGGTACAACAGCTGGAAGACCTACTACGACAGGCACCATGACTGAACGACAAGTATTCCATACTCGTAGGAATCATTCTGTTCTTTTGGGTACAGCAACAGTCGACTTGATACACTATGGCTGTAGGTATCAAGTTAGAGCATTAATTGACCCTGCTTCAGAATGCACTATCATTTCTGAAAAGTTGAGAAAAAGTTTAAAGCTTCCAACCATTTCCGAAACAGCGAAGTTTTCTGGCGTAAATGAGGAATTTTCGGCCATTTCGATGAAGACTTGTAATTTGGTGATAGGTTCTAGTACTGATTCATCATTTTTATTAAACACTTCGGCATCTGTTTTGCCAAACATTTCGGGAAATCTGCCTTCGGTTTCGGTTAATGCCGACAAATTGCCAAATCTTCATTTGGCAGATTCGAATCCCTTCGGGAGCAGACCCGTGGAATTATTATTAGGAGCTGATGTATACCCCCAGCTTATTTTACCCGGAATTAGGAAAAAAGTACTAGGATCATTATTGGCTCAAAAAACCGTATTTGGTTGGATATTAACCGGTCCTGTAAATAGTATTAATTCATCTCCTACGAAGGAAAGATATAGGCCAACTAAAAATAGCTACATTCCAACATGGAATCGTAATGAACCCAAATGATGTAGGAACTAGTTAGTTTATCAATCTATAATAGAACCGCTACTAATTAAAATGTTTGTAAATCATTATTTTTTCATTTTGTCTACGACAGGGCACTACGTGCAAACACTTATTGTAACCTTTTACGAGGTAATATTTAAATATAGATAATTCGAGATTTACGTCTATCCCAAACGCTGTATTAATAGAATCGTAAAAGATGGAAAGAAGAATTTTTAAGTAATTTTACTATTGATCGCTTTATATGGCAGACTTGTTGTTTTGAATTCCTAAATGATCACTACATATATATCAATTTACTTTACTAACCTTTTCCTAAATTATTTTTAATTCAGCAAGAGTCCTTAGTGATTCAACCGGAGTCTCATCATGGCTCAACCAGAGTCTCTTAATGTCTCAACCAGAGTCTCATCATGGCTCAACCAGAGTCTCATCATGGCTCAAACGGGTCCATAATGACCCAAGTAGGAAAAACTGGAGTCTGATCATGGCTCATTTTAATTTGGAAAAAAACAGTCCACGAGAGTCCTTCATGACTCGTCATTTATTTAGTTACAACACCTTAAGTGTTGCAAGGGGGCCGGCAATGTTTAAGTACAAATCGGTTATTTGCGGTATTTTTCCTCTAAGTGTAAATCCTTATGATTTACTACTTTAGTTTACATCTTTGATGGAAAACTATTATTAATTCAACGAGTAAACCGCTAACTGTATTTAAACTTTGTTAGCCTCCATACTTAGAAATAAGTAGTTGTTTACTTCTCGTCATATAGAAGCCTTAAAGAGCACTTCTTGTTGTGCATACATGCTTAAGGTAATAAATAAATAAAGGAAGACAAATCTTCTCCTTTTATAAAACTAATAATTCTTTGTGTTTTATTCTTTTTGTGCATTTACACTGAACCAAATCGGATTGACGCCGAAACAATTATACATTATATGTTCCAAACCAAAGCCCAACGAAATAGAAAATGAATCAAATCAGCATAATATTATTGAAAATTTCAATTAACTACATATTAAAGATTCCCAACACCAAAATTTTTATAAATAGGAGAAAAAGATAGAACAAAAATACAAGATAGACCAAACCATGTTTAACCAACAATATTAACGCTAATTTAATTAAGAACTTACCTTAAAATATTTAACAGTCTTTACACGCAATTCTAAAGTGGCATCTTCATCACAAATCATTAGAGTATTAGGATGTTGTTGGAAAGCACTAACAGTCCACATATGATTGATACCCTCCTCGATGGCTTTATATAAAGCAAACGCCTTATGAGCACCCGTTATAAGGATCATAACTTCTTTTGAATCCATAACAGTACCCACACCTACGGTCAATGCTTTATTAGGGACTTTACTTATGTCATTATCGAAAAATCTAGCATTCGCTTCTAAAGTATCTTGAGCCAGTGTCTTGACACGAGTACGTGACACTAAAGAGGAACCGGGTTCATTGAAAGCAATATGACCATCTGGACCTATGCCGCCAATAAATAATTCTACACCTCCAGCTTCCTTAATCATGTCTTCGAATTTATTACATTCTGCCACTAAATCACTGGCATTGCCATCGAGTATATGAACATTGGCAGGATTGATGTTGATGTGTTTGAAAAAGTTTTGCCACATAAAGTAATGATAACTTTCGGGATGATCACGTGGCAAGCCTGGGAGTGAAAGAAAGAAAGATTAGTTAAATTACAAAAGTAATTAGGCGTGACTATGTATAATTTTATTACACCTACCCACATATTCATCCATATTAAAAGTTTTCACATATTCAAAGGATACTTTTCCTTCTTTGTGGAATTGTATTAGATTTCTATACATACTTAAAGGTGTGCTACCAGTTGGTAAACCCAAAACAAAATATCTTAAATAGAAGATTGTGTCAAATGAGTATTGAATAAATTTTTAATTTATAATATGATATTGTTACCTGTCCGGACCTGGCTTGTAGTCGTTTATTCTTTTGGTAACATATTTGGCAGCCCATAATCCAACTGACTCAGATGTATCCAAAATAACTAATCTCATATTGATTTACTGAAAATAAAAATTTTGATTAATAAAAGAAGTGCGATTCGATATACGAAATATACTACATCTATAAAACTTTTTCAAAGTTGGACTCTAGAGACCACAATGGAGCCCCATCTTTAAGAAAAACTCGCACATACGAAGCAAATTAATAAAAAATATTGATTGAATCCTGATCGAATATGATTTCTGTACATAATAATTTTATTTGCATCGAACTTTATTTCGATACCCATTTATCCACCATTAGTGATATTGTGCAATCAACGATGGGCGAACTCTGAGCAACGATTTAAGAGCTGGCGATAAATCCAGCGAAAACTTAACAGACGATATAAGATATATAACCTTAGGTTAGTTAGTTGGCAAACTATCATGGATGGTAAACACTCTGGAAGGAAATACTCAACATCTAAAATATTTGAGGTCTACAACCAGACTCTATAAATGGGATTACACGTTCCCACAACAATTTGATCTTTGCTCAGAAACGAACCGAATCTTACTCGGCCAAAGATTATCTTCTTAGCAACAGACTCAACCGAAAGTTATTTCCTCAGGAAAACCTATAAGTCGAACTGTTACAACGCCATTACATATCGATTGTTGGGGTATTATTACTTATGGTCCTTAAAAACTGGCGAGTATATAAAGATACTAAAGCTCGAAAGGTTAGAGACGCTATAAAAAGTACACCACAAGCTCATTGGATATCCTACCATAGCGAGTAAGCTCGTTAGTAAGCTACTAAAACTCTATGAGTCTTTGTTATCCAAGTCTTTACGAGATAACCACACGAAGATTTTGTACGAAGTAGATCTACTTAATAATAAACTAAAGTTTCTAAATAGAACCGATTGGGTCCATTAAATGAATGAGATCATACCCAGCAAAAAATAATTGATGTCATACTTTACAAACTACATCTTAATCACATCTTAAAATGCGATTACATATTTTTCACTTTTATAAACCAAATATTTCCTTACAAATGAAACCCCAGTTAAAAGTGAGAAAAGAGATGTGGAAAAGTCATTACAAATAACATATTTGAAGTACATCAAGATTTGGTGAAAGAGTAGTGAAATTTACATAAACGTGTCATTAAGAGAATGTGTTTTATTTTTGACATCCAAATATCGGATTTTTACTGCTTCTAAAAATAAGATTAGATGTAGTTCAAAGTTGCCAAAAATGAACAACATCCCTCCAATGACACGCAAATGTAAAATTCATAGGTTTTACACCCGAATTTGAAGCACTCCGGGTTACTAGTTGTGATGAAAATTCTACATCTTTTTCCACACTTTTTTTGCTGGGTAGTGATAATAAATCGACTGAGATAACGTAACGAAATTTCATACAGCCGGAGCAGAGGTGTTTTAAAGTTAGTAAAGTTGAGGCCAGCGCTAATTCTTTACAATCCGAATGAAGGTTAGGTTACAACTTTATTTATTTGATTTGCCCCACTGTATAATAGTTAATTATTAAAAAAATTAAATTTAAATTATGTAATTTAACCACATTATCATACGTATCTGATAAAACAATGTGGTTCCGTATTTTTAATGTCAAATTAAAATTAAATACATGATTTTAATAGTTCACATTAGCGGTTTCAAAAAATAAATGAATAAGAATTACATTCGGCTATAAAGAAACTAATATACCCACCATCAAAACATGTGTCCTAAATTTTAAATGGGTTTTTATGACCGATCCTTTTTCGACATTTATTACCATTTTTTAAAGACCTAATGCCCGTAATTTCAACAAATAGATATCTACTGTGTACAATATCAATGGGCTTTTGTTTAAAACTTAAAATTATTAATTTTCCAGATGCATTTAAATTTTTAATACAATGATATCTTTTATTACCATAATAATGTTGATAGGGAAAACAATTAATGGGTGGCAACAATGCTCACGGTTGAAAAATCTCTTAATGTTGGAAAAAAGAGTGAATTAGTACAACTGACTGAATTAATAAAGAGAAAATTAGCACTGCCATTTATACGAAACTCTTAATTATCGTAAATATTTTAATAGATAAAAAAAGTTGAAACTGAAAAAGTATGTACACAATTCAATTGGACTCACACTCAGTAGCAGCAGGCAGTATGTACAAATTAGTTGTAACAATACATTGACATTGAAAAATTGTTTGAACTTGAATAATGACACAATGTTAACAATTAAAATTCTCAAAAAGTTTTAATTGAAAATTAGTAATAAACAAAATTAACTTAATAAATTCAAACTAATGATTAAATTGTATTATAATTCAACTTACCTTAAATTTAATTTATTAGAGGTAGATAGATGATGTTAGATGGAGGAATTGAGGTGGATAAATTGAAATTTGTTTCAGCTGTTAAACCGACAGTCAAAGCAATGAAAAGTAGAATAACTTTTTTTTATTCTGTTAAATATATATTAATAAATTTTATTATTTTTTTTATTCAAATTTTTAGTTTGTGTGTTTTTTATTAACAAATTCTAATTTCTATAAAATGGTGTTAAAAATCCACTTGCACTTGATAACAAACAGTGCGAGTTAAGTAAATAATTATTAAACAACAACTACAACAACAATTGAAATAATATACTCTACAACAAAAATAAAACAAAATACAGAATTTTGTGTCAATGAACTGAATAAATATCGAGAAACCAACCACGAACAACAACAAAAACAACAACTGCACACAATTTAAAAACAAAACGAATTCAATTCAACTTCGAACACTTCACTTCTGCGATTGCTTCCACTCACTACAAATATAAAAATTATTCTGAGACTGCTTTTTTTAAATCCTTTGCATTTTATTTTATTTATTACTTCACGACTTTGTGATTGTTTTATAGGGTTGCCATAATCTAGTTTATTCCTTCATACACATTTCCCCCAATGTGGAGAAAATATCCACCATCAAAAAAATGTATATGTATATAATCTGGATTCTTATTAGACTCTTCATATGTCTGTTGAAAATACGATAGGGCCAAACTGGAGGAGCAAGGGGCTTCTCTTTTTTAATCAATAAATTAATTTAAAACAAAATTTGTGGTACATAATACCGATCTTGGGGAAATTATTAACAATAAATCAATTTTTCGGTAATATGCACCGATTCTAATCATTTTCAACCGTGTTATTCTCTGGATGGAAAAAGTCTTATGACAAATTTTGTTTTATTAGCTGCTATAGTTTCTAAAAAAATAATTTATGACCCGATTTTGCTAATTATAAATAGGAAACTTCTCGAAATCAAGTAATAGAATATTAAAGATTTTGGTTTCGAAGATATCTGGGGTCTTCAGAAAATTTATTTTAACAAAAATACTGGTGGACAGACTAACTTTACTAAAAAAGACGACATCGCTGAATCGACTTCGATACTTACATATAAGGATTTAGAAACATATAATTTAATTCAATTTCTGTATAAGCTGAAATTTAAGACAATTTTGAGACCCATTTCGATAAAAAATAAAAATAATATGCTCCTCAAACCCACTAAAAATCATTTTGTGGGCCAAAAATACTCTAAAAGAATTTTACAATTATTTTTCCCGTAATCACCTCAAAATTACGGAATTTTTGAGACTCATTTCGAAAAAATTGCAGATTTTTTTTAACATGTTGTACTGAGATCAAAACTTTTAATCGCTGGTAGAAATCTAAGGACCCTTTCAAAACAAATATTTTTTATTTTCTCGTGTTCAGTACGCATCGAATGAAAGCTATTCTTACATC